TGTTATTTTTTTTAAGCAGGAAAATGGGGTTATGTTTGTTTTAATCGTTTGTTTGGATTTGCATTAAAACGTTGGAATTTGTAATTTTTTTTATATTATTCTTTCCTCCTATTCTCTTTGTGGTAATTTAAAAGTTGAATGATTTTTCTTTGAAAAAAAAACATATTTTTATGGTTTTGAAGATTGATCCGTGCTTGGAGTTAAGCAAATATTAGATTTTTTTTATTCATATATTTGGCTTTTTTGCATATACAATGCTGTTAATGCATTTGCATGGGCGTTTTCGATTTTGGTTGGATCATACGCAGTATGGAGAGCTTTGTACATGGCTTCGCTTGAGCTTTCAAATGATCAAGCCTTCGACTAATTAAAGCTTTACTTTGTTCACACTACGTCCTTGCGCTTATGGTGTTTCTTACTTGAATTTCTCTTTCTGATTGTAAAGAGTTATTTTATTTTCATTTTGGCAGTTTGGGAACCATAGAGGCAGATGCATATGCTAATTATAAAACGATTTTATTAACTTCTTGGTTGCTTGTAGCCCTACTTTATTGACTCTGACCTAGGTAATCATAATTCATAGAGCTTGTTGGTTTTTTACAGATGATCCCTATGGTGGCCAGCAGTACCGGAGGCAACAAAATGCTCCCCCGCATGCAGATCAATATGGTGCAGTGCCTTCAAAGCCCACTCCTCCACCAGTTACGGCATGGCGACCTCCATCACCAGCACGCTCCCCTACGCCTCCAATGCCACCTCCTCCACCACCTCCGCCTTTCATGAGCAGCAGTGGAGGTTCTGGCTCTAATTATTCAGGTTCTGAAAACCCACTTCCAGCACCCTCACCTGGTATTGCGTTAGGTTTCTCAAAAAGCACATTTACCTATGAGGAATTAGCAAGGGCAACGGATGGCTTCTCAGATGCAAACCTTCTTGGACAAGGTGGTTTTGGGTATGTGCACAGAGGAGTCCTCCCAAATGGGAAGGAAGTAGCAGTCAAGCAACTGAAGGCTGGAAGTGGGCAGGGGGAGAGAGAATTTCAGGCAGAAGTTGAGATTATCAGCCGCGTTCATCACAAACATCTTGTCTCATTGGTTGGATACTGTATCTCCGGGACAACAAGAATGCTTGTTTA